GGCATCAGGATTGGTGGAAGATCTATTAACAATCTGCGTTATGCAGATGACACAACCCTGCTTGCTGAAACTGAGGAGGACCTCATACACTTGCTGCGAAGGGTCAAGGACTGCAGCCTTCAGTATGGACTGAGGCTCAATGTCAAGAAGACAAAGATTCTCACCACTGGACCAGTGGCCTAGTAGCAAGAAGCTGTGCTGTAATCTTGAAGGCACATGGTTCGAGGCCACCAGCTGTGCTGAGGGAGAAGGAAGGGTAGTCTCCTCCCATGCGATTAACTGCTTCTGAAAACCCTCTGACAGGTCAGTTTTGGGTTGGTTCTGACGATGGTACACAACAACAATGACAGTATACTTGGACCAGGAAACAGTCCTCAGAACAGAGCCGGGAAACACTGCATGGTTCAGAATCAGGAAAGGAGTGCTTCAGGGATGCATCCTGTCTCCATACCTTTTCACTCTATATGCAGATCAGATCATTCAGTAGGCAGGGCTCTAGGAGGAGGAATGTGGCATCAAGATTGGAGGACAACTCATCAACAATCTACATTATGCAGATAACACAACCTTGCTTGCTGAAACGGAGGAGGATCTGAAGCACTTGCTGCAGAAAGTCAAGGTTTACAGTCTTCAATATGGATTGACGCTCAACATCAAGAAGACAAACATTCTCACTACTGGGCCCATTGGCAGCACCGTGATAGATGCAGAAGAGACTGAAGTTATTGACAATTTCAGCTTGCAGGGCTCCACAATCAACACTGTTGGCACCAGCAGTCAGGAAATTAAAAGACTAATTGCATTGGGGAAAATCTACTGTCAGGGACCTCTCCACAGTACTCTAGAGACTAAGATGTGCTTGATCCAGGCCATGGTCTTCACAGTTACTTGCTATGAATCAGAGAGCTGGACAGTGACTGAGGATAATAGAAGAATAATTGATGCCTTTGAGTTGTGGTGCTGGAGAAGAGTCTTGAATATACCATGGTCTGCCAAGAAAACAAGAAAGTTTGTCTTGGAAAGGGTGAAGCCATGTTTCTCTTTGGAGGCTAGGATTTTGAAGCTCCATCTCACATACTTTGGACATGTGGCCAGGAGGGACCCATCCTTCGAGATGGACATCATGCTTGGAATAGAGGAGGGACAGCGCAGGAGAGGAAGAACCCAGATAAGATGGATTAATACAGTAACTGAGAGGCATTGGGATCATAGGTATGTCAGAGTCAGTGACAGTGGCTCAGGACAGGGCAGGCTTCAGAGCTATTATACATAGGGTTGCTTTAAGTCACTGGTGACTCAACGGCACATAACAAGAGTCACCTTTTAGAAAATACAAGAAATGGAAAAAATTAGCTTTTCACCTGATGTAACTACTAGTAGTGTGAGTGAATTTCCTTTCCTTTTTTTTTCTTCATATTTATCTTACATTTTAATAATAGCAAGTGTGTTTTATTTTTTTAATTTAAGATGTCATAAATATTTTTCTGTTACGTTGGTTCCAGAACCATACTTTCAAGTGACATTGCCATAATATAGTCAACCACTCCTTAATTTTTCAATATTTATGTGTATTTATATGTTATTTCCCGCTGTTTTTTATCTCTGATAAAAAGATGAACTATTTGGACATAGTTTTTGTCCTCTATTCAAGACTTTCTGTTAGAATAGATAATTAGCAATGAAAATTCTGAATAAAAACATGATTTGGGCTGATACCCATTGGACCTGTCTGTCTTGTTCTTCATTTGCTTGATTGTTTTGGATTTACCTGTAAAGGAATATCTTTCTTTGCTTTTTGAACTATATTTTTCATAGTTTTTTTATTCTCTCCCATATCTCCTCTCATTTTAGGCTCATTGATATACCACCTTGCATAATATCATACTGAAGGAATATACCATTTCCTAGAAAACTATGAGCATAACAGAAAAGTGTCATTGACTTTGAATTAAATTTGAACCTGGCCCCTGAACAGCTACAGGATTTGGAAACTGAATCAATGTTATCAGATGAGTTAGAATCCAAACCAGAGGTGAGCCAAATCAGCTGGTTTCCTTTTATATTGGCGAGCTATATCCCAACTGATCCTAAGTTCTGACATTGGCAAAATATTTTCTGTAATAGTGCAGATAGAAAAATTTTAGGCTTTGTGGGCTATTTAGTTTTGATCATAGCTATTCAGCTCTACTGTTGTAGTATAAAAGCAGACATAGACACTACTTAAACGAATAAGTATGGCTATATTCCAATACAAAGTTTATTTATAACACAGATAGTGAATTAGAACTGGCTTGCCTGCTCTTCACTGAATTTATTATTTGTCTAATAAATACTTTCTTAAAGATTTAAATATTGTTTTTCCTTTTAGTACTATTTTATATTTGTTAAGTATAAATTTGACAAAATTTTGTCTTACATATGATGTGCAGTGTGTATCAATATTCATTTTTTTCACTAATGTTAGTGCATCTCTGGTGCATAGTGAAAAGACCACTGAATTAATAATTAGGTTATATACATTGTAAGATTAGCATTTATCTAATCTTGTGACTTTGACAAATCACATAATGTCTTCTCCTTGATTCATTATCTGTAAAATACATGTTTACTCTTAGTGGGTTGCAATGAAGACTAAGATGAGCTGGTTCTGAGAAAAGTGCTTTGTAAAATGTAATCAGTATATAGTACAATTGAAGATTTTTCAATAGCTCTAATTTTAAAATGTAGTTATTTTTATTATTTCTATGTTTAATGGAAGGTGACAGTTTAATGTATGTATATACAGACTTTCTGTGGATCAGAGAGCTTGATAAATAATTAAATGTATATTATGGGTTAGTTTTTCTATGAATTAGACCTCTGTTAATGAACAATCAACACTTAATGTATTTTTATGCAAATAGTGCACATATTATGCCACAACTGTACTACTAAGATCACAGTGTCCATGTGTTACGTGTTTGAGCATATTATTTATGTGGGCACATTAATTTGTGAAAAATATATAAATTCAGATATTTGAATCCATATTAAGCAATCTGTGTTTCTCAGTGTTGGCCTTTTTCTGCTCTGTAGCTCCTGGTACAATTTGTTCAGAACACTTCCATCCCCCTAGGACAGGGGCTGGTGGAATCAGAAACTAAAGACATTACTTGCTTGTCCCTCCTTCCAGTGACTGAGGCCTCAGAATGCAACCGGCTACTGTTACCAGGTAAAGTTGAGATACTAGAGATAGGCCAAAGGTGTTCTTCAGAACTTGCCATACATACTCTATGATATTAATGAAGTAGAGAACTGACTTTATAAGTAACTAATGAAAATCATAAAAATTAGGAATCATAGAGAAGGTGCAACCAGAGAAGGCATAATTTGTAACCATAAGTAGTTTAAGCCGTAGGTATGGATGTAATCGCCACTAGAGGGTGACAATGGGAAGAAAGGAAGGTCAAGAGCAGAATGCTTGGAATTCCCTATTAAATAAAGTTCAGAATAAGGCAAAAGAGAAAGAGCCTGTGAAGGAGTGGGGGAAAGATGACTAGAAAATTAAGGAGAAGTGCTAACAGAGTGGAAGCCTAGAACCTTAGGAAATAATTGTTAATGTGTTCAAAGCTCCCAGGAAATTCAATGAGATGAAATTTAAAAGTCGTCATTGAGTTTGACAGTTACATTGAGTGAAGGAAGTAGAAAGCCAGGCTGCAGTGAGTTAAGGTATTAATTAGATATTATAGTATTAACTAGGTATTATAGGTATTATACTCTAAAGTAAGATTTAATTGAAGACATAACTACTTTCTAAAGGCACTTTTATAACAAGATAATTTTATTAGTCTCTGAATCATTTCTTTATATCCAGTATAAACTCAGAACTGTAAGTCCTTAAGATTTATTTCAGTTGAAATAGGGTGTTCATCAGAACTGTTGCATGCGTCTTATAAAAATGAAGATGGGTGTCTACCCTTAAAAACTCAAAATTTTAGATCTCTTACAAACTAGTATTGACTCATAATGATCTTTTTTCAAGGGAAGAACAACTTCTGTAATATAATGTGGAATAGGATGCTAAGCATATGGAATTATATTATTAGAGACAAATGTTAGAGAATTCTGTCTCTCACATTAGAACGTAAAGCAATTCTTTTTTTCTAATTTTTTTTTAGCAATTATTCTTATTAGAAGCAATTTTGTTTTTGTAAAATAAAACTGCTGTTTACTTCTATAAAGCTGTTGACAGTTAAAACTGTTACCTTGGTAATTGGAGCTATATATAAAAATGTAAGCATTATACTGGAGCTAAGCGCCACATAAAGCTATGATGTTTCCTTTTTCTAGATGATACTCCAAATCATACTAACTCTTCCAAGGAGGTTCCTTCTTCGGCTGTGTTGAGAAGCCTTCAGGTGAATGTGGGCCCAGACGGAGAGGAGACGAGGGCTCAGACTGTACAGAAGTCCTCGGAGTTTTTGTCAACTCCAGAGTCTCCCAGTTTGTTGCAAGATCTACAGCCAAGTGATAGTACTTCTTTTATTCTTCTCAACCTAACAAGAGCAGGTATTCTTTTACGTTTTCTGACTCTGCTCATGGTTAAGAAAAAGTGGAGATGTGTCATATTATACTCAGTCACACAGTGGAAAGAAGCTTTATTAACATATTGCCGCACACTTTTAAACTGACGACCATGCTTAGAAACACAATTTTTTTCTCTTAGATATAGTACCGTCATTTGCGGCAATGTGTTAATTCTATTTTGTACTTGTTGGTGTTGATATCATTGAGGGACATTCAGGAGAAATTGTCCCTCAGAGAGATAAAAACAGACATGCAGAATTTTGGAGAGAGGTCTGATGTGAAGTAAGCAGATTTATTAGCTTTTAGGAAGTGTATGAACAGCCATGTAGGTTTGTTCTCTTTGGAGGAGTCTGGAGCATCAACTGAAGAGAAAGCAAAACTGGAGCCTTGAAGGGAAGTGGATTTAAGAAGAAAACAAAAATAGAAGAAACAGCTGGAAAGGGAGGAAGATAATCAAGGCAAGAAAAAGTTTTAGGAAGAAAAGAATTATACCAAATAGTATAGGATGGATTTGTAAGACAAAGGATGGAAAGAACATATTTAGGGACCTTAGCAAGAACGCTTGTTATTGGAATAGAAGAGAGGGAGACAAGGTGGATACATGAGGTAGAAGGTACACTTGTCAAAGAAACTTCACCTTGAAGAGGACTAGTAAAGGTAACAACTATAAAAGTACTCAGGGTTTTTGTTCTTTTTAAAATAAAACAGAAGAGATTTCAGCTAGAACAGATGTAAAGGCTATAAGGGGGCCCGGCCAATAGAGAAGGTATTTGCAGATGTAAGAGAGAAGATAACTGAATGGGAAGGACACAGGATAAATGAAGGATGAGATTGAGATTCTAGAGGTGGAGATTAGTCTGGTTGTCAGTAGGGAAAGCTCTACTTATAAAATAAAAGGCAGAAGGATATAAAGAAGCCTGTATGTTGGGATTGGAAGGATGATGACCCAATTATCTATGAGAACAGAAGCTTGAGGTAAAGTGGAGAGCACAAATAGATCTCCAAAATGGAGAATAATTATATTAGATCCCGACATAGAAGACCGACACCTAATACTGAGAATCATGGCCTAGTCAAGTTGACACATGTTTTAGGGGGACACAGTTCAAGCCATTATATTGATACTCAGAACCTAGAATGTTTCTGAGCCAAGGCACTTGAAAGGATTGCTTGATTTCATATATCCTGTTGTTTCTTCCAGGTCTGGGCTCTTCAGCTGAGCATTTAGTATTTGTACAAGATGAAGCAGAAGATTCAGGGAATGATTTCCTCTCTGGTGAGAGCACAGACAGTAGTATTCCGTGGTTCCTCCGAGTGCAGGAATTGGCCCATGACAGTCTGATTGCTGCTACTCGTGCACAGTTGGCAAAGAATGCAAAAACCAACAATGGTGAGGCATTTATATTTATAGTATCTTCCTTTCCAGTTCTTATCATCCTCTAGTGCTCTCTAAGAGAAATAGCACAAATGGAGGGCTAAGAAACAATTTCTTTTCTCCCAGTTTAAGAAGGTGGAGGACTAAATTTAGAATACATCTTTCTCTGTTAGCTTGATGAAGTTCCTTGTCTCTTATTATCTGTGGGCTCAGTGTTCTTAGCGATCTACATGTGTCTTGGCATCGATCTTTCCCTGAATCTAGGATGCTCTCATCTCAGGATGCCAAAACTAAAGGATATTCTCTGCACCTGGCTCTTCCTCCCCTACCCCACTGCTCACTTCTCTCTCCTGGCCACATCCTAGAGGAACTCTCCTTACATGGTTCAGGGCTGTGACCAGTGTAAAGGTGGTGACTTAAGTAAAAGTAATGTATCCTGTCCTCGTCTTAATTCATGAACATAAAAATAACCTGCCCTGCTCATTAACCACAGAGTTTACAGTGCATCACAAAATGGAGAATAATTATGTTAGATCACAAAATGAGGGATAATCACTCAACCCTAGGAATCCTGGCCTAGCCAAGGTAACATGTACTTTGGGAGGACATAGTTCAATCCATGATACCAGTACTCTGTATAAAGATATTTTAGCAATGCTGTAATGGCTTCATTTTAAGTTCTGTATAATTCTAGTTATTTTTGTTAGAGCAGAGGAGTAACGTTGTATATTTTACGTAAAATAACTTGGCCATGCCAAATTTATGTGCAGAATCAACTAAAGTACCGTTCTCAATTCCTTAAATAATGTACAGAAATCCCTTTAAAGGAAAAACATTTTCGCAGATCCTCATTGTTATCTCATATTTGAGATATTTTTATTACTCACTTGCTCATTGCCATATGAGTTGGTTCTGACTAATAGCTGACCCTCCAGCAGGCTTCCATGGCTATAAATTGTACAGGAGGAGATAGTCCATCTTTCTCTCTTGGAGCCATTGGTGGGTTTCACCTGCCAGGGAAGCATACATAACCTTTGAGTTAACAGTGAAAGTCCCTATGGACTACACTACAGAACTCCCTTTTATTGTAATGTTACGAACCATTGAATCGAAAGCAACCCATAGCTGACCTTCTAGGGGTGTTCAGAGGCAGAAAATCACAAAGGAGGAGATGTCCCATTTTTGTCCTACGGAGTCACTAATGGATTAGAACTGTGTACCTTTAGATTGGCACCACAACTACTTTACCACTAAGCCGCCAGAGCTCCATTTATTGTAATAGTTACATAGAAACTATACTGGAGCTCTTTTACCCTTATCAAATTTATCAAAATTATTCTATCAGCTACTAGAAATAAAACTATAAAACCAGTGACAATAAAATGAACATTGATGTACTGACAATATTTTTCTGAAACTAAATTGCTGCTCATAGCAATTTTTTTTCTCATAGCAACTGTTATAACTGTGTATTGTTTCTTCTTAATTCAGTCTGTCTGTGCTAGCTACTTTGTACAACTTCTCTATTCCAGTAATTTTCAAAGGTTGGGTTCTGGATAACCAGTATCCCTTGGAAACTTGTTAGAAATGCAAATTCATCAGACCTATTGAATAAAAAACTCAAGAACTAAAGCCTAGTAGTCTCTCTTCCCGCAAAAGCCCCCTTTATGGTTCTGAAAAGAATCAGAACCATAGCTTTATTTAAACCACTCCTAAAGAAGCTGTGCTGCAATCCCAAAGGTACATGGTTCGAATCCACCAGATGCTCTGCTGGAGAAGGAAGGCAATTTCCTCCTGTGCCAGTCAGATCCTATTCAACAGTACATAACAAAAGGGGAAAAAATAAACCACTGCAAAACTGTACCATAATAATACCTATTTTAGGTCTTTTCTTTGTTGTTTTCTCAGTCTGTAACAATGAAGGCAGTGCTTTATGGCTAAATACTATCACCGTCACAAACCATGTAAAAGCACTGAAATTTTAAGCCTCAGATGGAACAAGACATTTAAAAAATTTTCTCATAGAGAGCTTAGTATCTCTGAATATTTCAGATTGACCTGGTTTAAGAAACAGGGATCAATGAGTCAGTAGACAGATAGTGACCTTCTCTTGAGTTTCTGAGTCTGTACAACTTCAAGGGAGGAGGATGCCCATGTTTCCCCCTGAGAGTGGCTAGTGGATTCAATCTTTTGACCTTTTAACATTATATACTAGGCCCCCTGGGGTCCTTGCACTAAATTAAGGCTAACAAACAACTGTTATGCATCTGCCATACTAACCTGCAATTTACATTTAACACTAAAAACACAGGAACATATTTTGCTCATAATTCAAGGGCTAGCTGCTATTTAATCTTGCTTTTGTTCCCATAATAATGTGTAATGAAATTATTTACTCTCCAGAGGGACAGAAAGAAGCAAGATTGACTTCAAAAGATGAAAATCTAAAAGTAGCCATCTACTAGAGATATCTGCTGCTTTAAGGCCACAACTAAGCCAGAATGGTTGCTCCACAAATTACAGGCTTTAATAGTCCACAGAACTTCAAGTCATCTTCTGTAACACCCTATCCTAGCTTTGGATACTTAAGCCTACTTCCCGTCAGTTTTTGCAGTACGAAATAAATTTCATTTACCTTCTGATATTTCTGCTGTAAAACGGTTTTGAACAATTTTGGCCTATGCCAAAGAGGTTAATCCCTATGAAACAAAAGATAAAGGTTTTGTGGTTTTCTGGAGTAAGGAAGTAGGAACACAGAGCACTCTAATTTCTTTTGTTAAGTAGATGCAAAGAGAAATGGGGATAGATGCCTGATTAACAATATCCCTAGGAGTACAAGCTTTATTGTTTCAACCAAAGTATTTGAGCCTGGATTCTTCCCTGGATTGACAAGTATGTGACTCTTACAGGGGAAACTGTCCACCTTGGCTCTGGTGATGGACAACCCAAAGACTCGGGGCCCCTTCCTCAAGTGGAGAAGAAACTCAAGTGTACAGTTGAAGGCTGTGACCGGACATTTGTGTGGCCAGCCCACTTCAAGTACCACCTCAAAACTCATCGGTGAGCTAGTCTGAGACTCTGAACATGGAACTCAAGAGCACTGATGCTTCTGGAGGAACTTCTCAGAACTTACAAACTGAAGAAAACTGGGGCCTCTAGTCCACTACTGATTAAACTTATCTTTTGTTCTTTAATTAATGGAAAATTTGCATTGTCTCATTTACCTTATTTTTTACAAATACTTAGTAAGACATTTGGTGCCTAAAGGCCTTCTTCCAAGAGTTCTTACATGTCATGTTAAAATGATTGGTATAATAGTTCATTTTTTTCCTTGATAACTTAAATTGGTAATATATAAGCTAGATGCCTCCTCTGCCAAACCTATTAAATCACTATTTTGAAGGGTGGAGCCTAGGCATCTGTAGTTTTAACAAATTCTTCATGTGATTCTGATACATTTACTCAGGGTTGTAATATACTCTCTGCCTTGACAATGGTAGCAGTGTTGACTTTTCCTCTTTGGTGAAGAATAGTTTACTGCTTTGTAATGGGATTTTTTGTTGTTTGTTTTTTTGTTTGGTTTTTTTTTTTTAAGAAATGACCGCTCCTTCATATGCCCAGCAGAAGGCTGTGGGAAAAGCTTCTATGTACTACAGAGGCTGAAGGTGCACATGAGAACCCACAATGGGGAGAAGCCCTTTATGTGCCCTGAACCTGGTTGTGGTAAGCAGTTCACGACCGCTGGAAACCTGAAGAACCACTTCCGCATCCACACAGGTAGGTGTGACCTCAGCAGCATGTCCCTGGGGGATTTCTTTCTTGGCTTAGTGCTTGCTTACCTAAAGAAAGAATAGATATGAAGGTCAGTGATCCCCACCTTACTCTATATAGTATATGGTTTGTGTGTCAGAGAATGTTACCACTCAGAATTATGTCTGTAAAGCTCTGATGTATCTGATAATAACTGATTCTCTGTTTATATCCCTAACTGAATCTTAAGCTTTTGGGGGCCAGCACTTCCAGTGTAATATTAGAAGATTATTGAGATATGACACTTTCTAGGCAGCCCAATTGAAATTATATAATGAATTCCAGTAATGAGTAAAGCAGTTACTGCAAATAGTATAAAATTGATGGGAAAAGCAAGTAGTAGTTCCACATAAGGCTGAGTCTCTTTTTGTTTCCTGTCTCCAGGAGAGAAGCCATTCCTTTGTGAAGCCCAAGGGTGTGGCCGTTCCTTTGCTGAGTACTCTAGCCTCCGCAAACATCTGGTGGTTCACTCAGGTATTAGAAGTTGAACTCTGTAGTATTTGGGAAAGTCAAAAAATCAGAGGAGTAGGGAAGGACTGATAGACTGAAAAACAGACTGTACCATAAAGTTACTTCAGCATCATCATGCCAAAATGAGTAATAACAGAGTCTTCTATTCAAGGCAGAGAATATAATTGCTATTGTTTGCCACTGAGACATTGAATTACTTTCCAATTCAGATCTTTTTCTGAGGGGATCAGATTTGTTTGGTACTATGCTGGGTGTAAAAGCCAAAATGTAGTGGTTAAAGTGCATAACTGAAAAATCAGTGTTTGGAACCCACCAGGCATATTCACAGGAGAAAGATGTGGGTGTCTGTTTCCATAGAGATTTAGAGCTTTGGTAACTCTGTGGGGGCTCTTCTGCTCTGTCCTGAAGAGTAGCTATCAGTGAGAATCAACTTGATTAACAGTGGAGTTTTGGTTTTTGCTGGGTAGGTTTAAGTTACGTCAAGTACAGATCCTGTTCTTAAAGAAATCTTCTCTGTTGAGTTTTGCCAAGAGCTTCAAACCAGAGGAAAATAGGATTTATGTCACTGTCAGCAGTTATGTTGATGCTTTCTGTAGAAGAGTAGTGAGCCTCTGTTAGCTACCATTTTCCATTTTGGCAGAAACTATGCCTTGAACATGTAAGATATAATGATCTATTTTGTTTTGGAACTTTAAATTAACTCTCAGTAGTTCCGTCACTTTGCTCATTTTATGCAGGTGATCGGGTCTTCCTTGCTAAAGAGATCTTTTCAAAATATCTACCAAAAAAAAATCTGAAAATACAGCTACTAGACCTTCAAAGCTCAACACAAAAAGATAGTGTGCTGTCCTCCCTTCCATTCTACTCTCATCCTCCCAGACAAGAAGTCAGGTACAACCCACAGAGAGATGCACCTTGTTGGAAAGGATGTTTGTCATGGAACATGAGGAGTTACATTGAAAACAAGGCAGGACAGGTGATTTTAAAGGAGCTTAGAATGCCAAAATGAACTGCTTGATGGCCAGATGGTTAAACTGCTAGCCATTTAGTATAGTAGCTTACATTTGCGCTACCAATCAAAAGATTGGTGCTTCAAACCCACAGTGCTCACTTCCGCACAAGTCACTATGGACTGTGCCACACACACACACACGCGCGTGTGCTCTCTCTTTCTAGCTCTCTCTCTGTATATATACTCATATGCACATGTTCAAGCATTGAGTTGCAGTACTTAAGGATGCTGTGGGCAGAATGTTGAATGACCCAGGAAGCATCAAAAGAAGATGGAAGGAGTACACAGAGTCACTATACCAAAAAGAATTGGCTGACAACAGAAGAATTTCATCAAGCAACATGTGATCAAGAACTTATGGCGATGAAGGAGGAAGTTCAAGCTGCCCTGAAGAAATGGGCAAAAAATAAGACTCCACAAGTTGATGGCATACCAGTTGACATATTTCGACAAACAGATGCTGCCCTGGATGCGCTCACCAAGTTATGCCAAGAAATCTGGAGAACAAGCACCTGGCCAGCTGACTGGAAGAGATCTCTCTTTGTTCCCATTCCAAAAAAAGGTGACCCGACAGAGTGTGAAAACTATTGAACAGTATCATTAATATCACATGCAAACAAGATCCTGCTGAAAATTATCCAAAAACGACTGGAACAGCATATCAACAGAGAACTGCAGGATGTGCAGGCTGGGTTTGGAAGAGGCTTTGGCACCAGGGATATTATTGCCAATGTTGGATGAACCTTGGCTGAAAGCAGAGAATACCAGAGAATTGTCTGTGTATGTTTCATTGACAGTGCAAAGGCATTTGACTGATCACAACAAACTGGCTTACTCTTAAGACGAATGGAAATTCCAGCATAGTTGATTGTGCTTATGCGAAACCTATACTTGGACCAGGAGGCAGTCATCAAAACAGAGCAAAGAAACACTGTATGGTTCAGGAAAGGTGTACGCCGGAGATGTGTCCTATCTCCTAACTTTTTCAATCTGTATGTGGAAAAGATCATCTGGGAGGCTGGTCTCTTTGAGGAGGTATGTGGCATCAGGATTGGAGGAAGACTCAACAACCTGTGTTATGCAGATGATACAACCTTGCTGACCGAAACAGAGGAGGACCTGAGGCAGAAGGTCAAGGACTATAGCCTTCAATATGAATTGAAGCTCATCATCAAAAAAAGAAAGATTCTTGGAGGTCTGGTGGCCTAGTGACAAGAAGCTGCACTGCAGTCCCAGAGGCACACAGTTCAAATCCACCAGATGCTCTGCTGGAGAAGGAGGGACAATCTCCTCCTGTACCAGTAAGATCTGATTTGACGGTACATGCACACAAAATAATAAAATAAAATTTTAAAAAAGAAAACAACAACAAAGATTCTTACCACTAGGACAATAGAAAACATCATGATAAATAGCTTGCTTGACTACACAGTCAACACACTTGGTACCTGTAGCGAGGAAATAAAAAGACGAATTGAATTGGGAAAATCTGCTGTCAGGGACTTCTCTAGAGTACTGAAGAGCAACAATGCTGGTCTAGAGACTAAGGTGTGCCTGACCCAGGCCATGGTCTTTGCAGTTGTTTGCTATGCATCAGAGAGCTGGACAATGACTAAAGATGACAGAAAGAGAATTGATGCCTTTGAGCTGTGGTGCTGGAGAAGAGTATTGAATATACCATGGACTGCTAAGAGAACAAACAGGTTCATCCTAGAGAGAAAGAGACCACGCTGCTCCTTGGAGGCAAGGATTTTGAAGCTCTGTCTGACAGTACTTTGGGCATGTTGCAAAAAGAGACCAGTCCTTGAAGGTGCAAGGACAGCATAAGAGAGGAAGACCCTTGAGGTGATGGGTTGTTTCCGTGACTGGGTTAATGAGAGTAAGTGTGTCAGAGACAATGAAGTTGGCTCAGGATAGAGCAGGGTTCAGAGCTCTTGTACTATAGGGTCACTATGAGTTGCAAGTGTCTCAGTGGCACATAACAACATGTACATATACATTCACTATCTATATATGTATACATATACACACAAACACAAAGTTGTATCTACATGAAATGACAAGTCCCAGGTCCATGACATGTAGCTGTGAGGCTGGCAAATCCAAGATCAGCAGGCAGGGTATTGATCCAAGGAACCAAAGAGATGATGAGCCATATAAACAATTGAGATCAAGCAAAAAGCAAGCAAGCCCTCTCCACTGGGCTTTCTTACATACTCGATGCAGGTCACAACCCTGATGAACCTACTCCCATAGCAAATCCCATCAAAGGAATACTCAGACTTCATCAAGGAAATGACCACACTGTGACTGCCAAACCAGAGAATACTAAACAACCAAATTGGCACACACGGCCTTAACCATCACAGGAAGTAAATTCTCTTTGTGGCTGGCAGTCTTCTAGCCAGAGAGGTTGATTTCTTGAAGGTAACAGGGCAGTGGGTCTAGAAAGAAATGGTGTGCTGACCTTTCTTGGATCTGTTCTTTCTGCTTTCCCCACCTATTAATGTTGAGAGGCTGGGGAAAAGTGAGAAATGGGAGAAGGAAAAACCTTTTGTGGAACATTTTCTGAGCTGCTTCATCCAGTTCTTGAGTCCATTTTCTTACTGTAGAAATGTATTTTGCCTTTCTGCTTCCCTTGTCTTAACCGGGTCCCTGTTGCAGGAGAGAAGCCACATCAGTGCCAAGTGTGCGGGAAGACCTTTTCTCAGAGTGGGAGCAGGAATGTGCATATGAGAAAGCATCACTTACAGATGGGAACCCCTGGGAGGCAAGAACGGGAGCAAACTGGTGAGGAAAGTTGGCATAATGGAGGACCATGTCTTCTAGGTCCTAGGAGCCAAATAACTGGGCTGTCTGGTTACCTGGAAATTTTCTGGTTTAGTTTTAGGTAGAAAACCTGTTCTAATTTGGTGAGCAAGCTAGGGTTCCCAAACCTGCCTTTGCAAACTTTAAAAATTGTGCCTCCTCCCTCCAAACAAAACAGCCTGATAAGTGAGATTGTTTGAGATTAAGATCTAGAGTTGAAAAAATTCCCTAGTGACTATGGAGTTTATGTTGATGGTGGTAGAATACTTTGGAAAATGACAGCATGTACAATCAGTGTCTCTGAATTATTCATAAAGAAATTGCTGAATTGGTGAAGGTTGTATTTTCTGTCTCTCTCTTTACACTCTTTAGACTCACTGTTTTCACTCTGTCCCTGTAATACTCACACATGCACGCACACACACTTTCTCTAAAGAGTTTGATGGTAACTAACTAGTACTGATCTGTGAGCCAGATTTCAAGTATGCATCACTGTGATAAAGATTTCTGTGTATTAAAGATTGGATGTTTTGTTACAGATCAAGCATGTCTAGCATATCTACCTTTTTGCCCTGACACTTGATAATTCTTTTTTTATTAAAAATACTTCTTTCTTAGGATCCATCCTATTTTATATGCTAATTCTTCATATGCTTATCACAAGCAAGGATATTTAACCCAGAGTTTCATTGCTTCTCCTTTAGGTTAATTCTTATGTCCCCAAAAGTAAGTGGAATAGGAGGTGGCATCCAGGATACAGATTATCTTCTAGTTGTGAGGAGATCAGCTTCCTTGTGCAGGGAAGCGAGCACTAGGCACAGCCGTGAGAGGCTGACTGCTATATGTCTCATCCTGTTCTCTGTGCAGCAGAGCCACTCATGGGCAGTAGTTTGCTTGAAGAAGCTTCAGTACACAGTAAAAACCTGGTGTCTATGAATTCCCAGCCCAGCCTTGGTGGAGAGTCCTTGAACCTACCAAATACCAGTTCTATTCTGGGAGTTGATGATGGTAAGACTTTGAGCTCTCCTTTATTTGGGGAAGGTGGGCTGCATCTAGGTACAAAAGAACGGGGTTAGCTCCAAATTAAAGATTTTAATTTCATTTCTTGTGAGTAACTGTGGTATGATTGAGCAGTATTTGTGTTCTTTGTTTCTGAGATGGCTAAGTAAAACCATGAAATTATTTCTTTTCATTGAAAAGATAATGTAACAAAAAGAAGAAATTTTTTAAAAAGAAAATGATCCATAATCGTAGCATCCTAGCCCGACTATTTTTATCTTTCCTATTGCAGTTATGGAAGAACTTAACTTTTAAAACATTTATACAGAACATAACCAGGTTTTACAGAGGAGATATAAAGCAATTTCTCCATACCTTCAAAAGCCATATCTTCTGGAGAACAGAAAGGGCTCTCTAGCAATCAATTGCTCCTCTCTGGTATAGAAATTTCACTCAAGTTACACAGGCCAGGCCTTCTTCTCTGAAAAACTTAACAGGTGAGGTCAGCATGCATTTATTCAGTGCCTACTATGTGCCTGGCACCATGGGAAGGACAAGTAGAAGACAGGGACCCTAAAATCTGGTTGAGAAGACAAAACTTACATACGGGAAGTAACATTGAATAGAAAATGATATAGGCAAACGTTAAATTATACTGTGTAGGCTGGAAGAAGCAGGATGCACTAGACAGCCCATAATAAACATTTGGTTGAAGGGTGAGTGGGATAGCTGTAAACTGTTGCCAGGGATTTCCCTATTATTCCCACTAATGACCTTTCAATGAGACTTGAGATCCTCAGTCAGTTTTGGGTGTATGTGGCCATGCTTATGCAACTTCATGAAGCCTACAAGGCCCATAGTGTGCTACCTAACCCTGCTCTGGTCATTTCTGACATTAATGGGTAACTAAAGCACGATCCTCAGAAATGATATGGAGCTAGATTGCCGGCCTTAAAGGAGAAATCTCAAGGAGGAAGGGACGTTTGTGGAGGAGTAGGAACTGAAGCCAGGCTTAGCTTGAGTTATTGGGCTACTTATATTGTGCTGTTTGTGACCGCTTCGGGGGTTGACTCTAGCTCTGTAACCTTGCTGTATAGACAGCCTTTGCCCTGTTTCATATACAGTTCTAATCCATCCAGCAGTGCTAAAAATCTCACTGTAATTTAGTATGTAAAAAATTGGTCAGCTCTTATATCAAGATTTGCCTATGGGTATGTGTTTTAACTGTTTTTTTTTTCACCAAAAATAAATACTAAAAAAAATTTATTGCCTGCCTCCTATGACCCCTTTATATACTTCACAGATAATGATGATCATACAAGAACAATACTAATCTGGAAGAAATGTAGGAATAAGGGTATAGTTCTTGGTGTTCTGTAGGAAGCAGGCAGGTCTTTGTGTGGGCTCACATTTTATTGAAACATTGTTCTGTTTTGCAGAGGTGCTTGCTGAAGGACCCCCACGTCCTCTGTCTTCAGTGCCTCAGGTGACACATCACTTGGTGACCATGCAGTCAGGGAGACAGTCCTATGAGGTCTCTGTTTTAACTGCAGTAAACCCACAAGAGGTAAACCATCTTAGTGTCTAAGTCTGTACCATTCCTTAGTGTCTCTGGAGACCTGTGTGAAAAGTAGTTAGGAGTGTAGTTTAAAGGATCTAAAAAAACTGTATTCTCTAATATAAATTTCTTGGAAACTTCGACTATAATGTCTCACTTTACATTAGTCTTGTTTTGAGGAACATCTGTGTGTTTTAAATTCCCTGAGTTCGGAGATGTGATCAATCATACATGTTCTTTTATACATACTCCCTATTATCCTTTGCCTCACTGTGAGATAAGAGTGCTGCTTTTATTTTATAACGAAAATAAGCATCCCAAAATAGGATGATCCTTGGGGGAAAAAAGCAAACAAATGATCTATGTTCTGTCCGCTAGGGTCTGGGCATACTGCGGTATGTTCACTTACCCTTCTTCAATGAGCAACCATCAAATACATTGAAGAGGGATTTTATGTTGCTTACAAATTGAAGAGGGATTTTATGTTGCTTACAAATACCTACCTCCCCCAACATCAGGATCCTAACTTTTTGACTCAGAAAACAGGATGGAAGCCAGTCAGGTCCATAGAACCTTAGAATTAATTACCGGCTTTGTAACACATGGTAGTAGATGACTTCATCACAAGACATTTTATATGCATAGGCTTTTACAAAGCCTGTGTAGCCTGGATTTCTTCAGCACTACAGTACTTTCTCTCATCTCTGTCTCATTCCTTTTTATTATAAACTTTTTATCACAGTAAGCTGCTGAGGCATTTCAATGATTCAAGTCCTATATTGAATATTTTCTATTATTCTATGAAATCTCCATGATCCAGTGTCATAGCAGTCTGGGCATGCATGCCAGTGTTTCTGTCAGAATCTTTACTTGTATTCAGTTTTTGTCTAAGCCTTGTTTGTTTTATATTGAAAATTTTTTGCTGTTGATATCATCGGTTTTTCCCTAACTCACTTTCGCATGCTTATTGCCTTGGAACTAGTCATGGTACGGTATTCCTTCATCTTCTTTTCCCCCCCTCATTCATCAGTTATGAAACTTGGAGATTTTTAAAGAGTAAAACAAAGAGAAAGAAAATAGTATAGTGAATCCTGTATGTCTTATCACCCAGCTGGGACAGTTTACTTTCTACCATTCTTATTTATTTTCTCCTACAAATTGCAGTTGCTGTTTTGCTTGTCTTTAAGTACTTTAAGGTACATCTCACACATTTCATCTGTAAATATATCAGTATATGCTTCTATCAGGTAAGGATTATTTGAGTGACATCCACTTTCTAAACAGTATGCATCTGGAAACTATGAACTTGGAGAAACAGCAATAGTTACAGAGCAGGGTTCAGGTCTTTTGTTCATAGGTTCGCTATGAGTCGTGCTTAACGAGTCAACAACAACAACAACATAATAGCGTTACTGTACCCAACAAAATTAACAACTTACTGATATGTAAATCTTAATCTATGTTCTTTTTCCCCTAAAAAAAAATATCTTTTTATAGCTGGTTTGTTTGGGTTAGAATCAAACAAGATCCATTCATTCCATTTGTTAATATTTCTCTTAATCTTTAATAGTTTTTCCACTCTCTCTCTCTCTTTCCTTTTTTTAAAAGAATGGTTATATGTTTATGGAACTGTGGTATTTGCCCTGTAGAATTCTCCATATTCTCTCATTTTGGCTGATTGATTTTTTTCCCCCTTCAATCTGAAAGTAGCCTTCCCCCCCCCCCCCTACTCCTTCTTTGGCTTGAGCCTTCGGACTGTGCTTATACGGGCTCATTTCTTTTGACTTCAACCATTTCTGATATGTTCCTCTGGAAATTAACATTTTTCCATCACTGACTGTGAGTGACTACTGCTGTTCTGTCAAATAGGCTTTGAGGAACTATTTGCTTACTTAATATCTTTGTGCTTGAGACCTTAAGTTGACTTAAAGTCAACAGTTTCTTTTACCAGTGGCACTGTAGGTCATTTCACTTCATCTGATTCTTTGAGGAGCTTTTGTAGAGACGAGTTGTTTTTCCACAAGACAATTTACCACATAGGAGTGCTTAAGGGTTCATTGTCTTAGTGTCATGCTGCTTTTTCAGGCCACCTTACAACGTAATTCACTAGTTTGTCTCTCCATAAATCTAGTTTCATTTCATTGATCTTTCCAATGATTATACCAAAATATTGTTGGTTAAACCATTATTCGAGACTTGAAAGTTATAGGAAATACTGTATATACATACAAAATCTTGGTTTACAGCATCAGGATATTTTCTTACTATAATGAAATGGATAAAATGCTATCCTCAAATACTAAGATCTCTTCATGTGTGCATAATATTTGTTACTTTGGAACTGTTAGGTAGCATCAAGTCAACTCGATCATCCTGTTCCATCCTTATAATACCCACAATGCTTAAGCTTGATGGTTCAGTCACTGTCAGTCCTTCTCATTAGGAGTCTTCCTTGCCGTTGATGACCTTTTGAAGTATACTCTGCACCACTCATTCTTAATTCTTTTCCTTCATGTGAATTCTTTTTCCTGTAGTAACATATTCTAGATTGTTTTGCTTTGTCTTTTACAGTTACTGAACCAAGGAGATTTAACTGAACGACGGACATGAGTGTGGCGCTCACTCCTGGACGAGCAGCTCTATCCGATCCCAGAGTGCACACGGTGGGGATAAGGAAGCATACATAAGGCTCACAGTCTGCCAGAACCAAAACGAATCTGTGAAGGATAAAACCCCACATTTGCACTGTTCATCTTCCCTAACATACAAGATGAATGTATGAGGGCTCCTCTTCAAACTGCCACAGGATTCACAGAAGGAACAAAGCAGTGAATATGGGCTGGGTAACTGTACCTACCTCTCATCCCACTGCAGAATTTTGGGATGGACTTTTCCCAGAAGTGTTAGTTGACATTTATCTAACTATTAAGGAGAGGTTTTCCTTTAAAGAGTTTTCATCCCAGACTCGGCTGTCTTTTTCACATAGATGACTAACTAAGTCCTGCCACCAACCATAAAACTTCACCTGGAATTTGCGCTTTCAAGATGCCTTGTTGCTTTGGAGAAGGGAGTAAATGTCAGTTCTGTTGTAACATTCTCCCTGTAGCAACCTGAGTGTGAGACTCTCTGCCACTGGGCTGCAAAAAAAGAAAATCAATTACTTGAATCCTCCCTTGGCCGCAAGCTGAGGTTACTATCTTGTCCTGTACACCTTGACTTGGTCACTTTGCTTTCTTCGTTTATGGAACATAGTAAGTAGCATGTTAAGAGGGATTTTTGTTTTATTTTAATTTAAAAAAAATCACATAATAAAGAGCTTCAGTTGTTTTCCCTTAAAATAAACAAAATGGCCCAGTCAGTTCTTTGGCTCCTTGTTTTCTTAAAAAGGAGATTAATACATCAGTCTTTCCATTTTAGATGTTGTTGTTGTTGTTGTTAGGTGCTATTGAGTCAACACAGCTCATAATGATCCTGTGAAGAGCAGACCTGAACCCTGCCCTGTCCTGCGCCGTCCTCATCAACCCTGATACACTTATGCCACCATGTCAGTCTGTCCCACGGAGGGTCTTCTCTTTCGCTAGAACACTGACCAGTGGGATTCCAGACAGATAAAGGTGAGCTCAGGAGTCTTAGTTATTATATGAGTATCTCCATCTCTAACTAGCAGGTCAAGATAGCACTAATTAAAGTGTCATTCTGTCACCATCGGAAAAAGACTGTGTTCGAATCTAGAAAAAGATTCCAGAAAGATTGTTTATAAAAAACACAACAAAGGCATTTCTGTTAGAATTACCAATCTTATTTTGATGTGTGTCTGAATCTACTAAAGAAGATACCGACTATTGCTGGTTGAAAAAAGAATTCCAAATATCACCTACCAGTAGAAAATCATGATAATCAGAGGAATTTATTACAATTTTTTATTACCTTTATTAGAATGAACTTCCTCTCAAGATACACACACACGTGCGCACAAAAAGTAGCACAGTTTAATCAGATTCATGGGAAATAACTGGTTTTAAATAAATTGTACTTCATTCATGAGATGCATAATCCTGTGCTATGTAGATTGAATTTACAACAGTTACTTGTATTCATAACATGTTAGTTTTTGTGTCCTGCAGTATTACTTTCATGCTTGAGTAGTCACCCTTAACCAGGGACAGTTTTTCTCCCAAAGGACCTTTGGCAATGTCTGAAAACATTCTTAGTTGTCAAAATTTCAGGGACTGTGGGAGGGTGATGGTGTACTACTGGTATTAAGTTGTCAGAGGTCAGGGATGACACTAAATATCCTAAAATGCACAGAACAACCCTACACAACAATTTTCCAGTTCAAAATGTCAGTAGTACTGAATTTGAGAAATTCTGTATAAAAGATTGTAAACCTGTTGCACACCCCCATCCCCGACTCCCCACTAAATCAGATCTGCAAATATGTTTTACTTCATCCAGAGACCATTTCAAAGTGATTTCTTAACTAGTTGCTAAGATGTCAATTTCTCTCTTCTGTTGAAAACTTGGCAATACTGGGTCTGTATTTCATCAGAGTTTATAATCTGTAGCTCAGCCCACTTGATTCAGTAGCCCCTGTTAAGTGTGAGCCACAAGCAAGAATTCAACTCTAGGCTGTTTCTTCCACCCTTTTACCAAGGATAGCCCTGGCTCAAAGCCCAAGTGTTATTTGATTCAACAACCAAAAGTAGTTGTTATGTCCCATCAAGTTGGAACCAGAAAAATTAGCTTGCCTTATAATATTCATAAGAGATTCTTTCAAGTATATACTGATTAAGCAAGTGATTTGAAATTATCCTGTGATTCAAAAGATAATTCCTCTACATCCTTCTTGAGACATGTAGGCAGTTCTGGAGATTCTTCTAAATCCTGTTTTGAATCTTGGATGCTGAGTTTTGTCATTTCATGAATGCTGCAGAAGAAATAGAAACATAAAAATTTATCACAAGGAAATGTGAAGCCTCCAATACATTTTCATTATTTTATATGGTGTATAAAAGTTAAGTTTTCAGAGGGGGAATGGGAATAGAGGTTAGAAAGGGCCATTGTTGAGTACTATGGAGTTGGAACTGACCCATAGCTGACCCTCTGGCAGGTTTTCCGAGGCAGTTAATCACATCCTCTCAGCATCTGGTGGATCCAAACCTTATGCCTTTGGGATTGTAGCACAGCTTCTTACCACTAGGCCACCAGAGCTCCCTAGAAGGAGCCATAAGGATTTAAGAAACAAACTGAAATAGCATATTTGGCATACTATTGCTTTTCTCTCTGACTTAAATAGTGTCAAAATGAAGAGGTAGTGCTTTACTAATAAAATTTATTACTTTTAAGCCATTTTAGAAAAGGTTTTATTTTGCAGGGAGTCAAAGTATGTATGGCTTCGTAAATGAATTAGAACTACTTTTGATTCATAGCATTGAAAATGGAAAATGAAAGGGCTCTAAACCACTTGGCTGTCAGTTGTAGAGTAGTGACTTACAAGCTATGCCACCAGTATTTCAAATACCCATTCTGAACAGGTTTCAGTGGAGGAGTGGGAAGCAGGCCTGGCCGTCCAATTTTGAAATAATGGGTCCTCGAGCTCTGGTGGCCTAATGGGTAAGGAGTTGTGATGAAATATTAGGCCCTTAAAACCTAATGAATAACTGTGGAACATTGTCTTCTATAATGCCAGAAGATGAGGCCTTCAGATTGGAAGGCATTCAAAATACTAAGAAAGCTGCCTCCACAATTCACCTTAATGATCTAGATGGAATAAGGCTTTCAATCAAAAAGAACTTCCATTTGTTGATGTGGCACTATTAAATGAAGAGAAACCGCTGCAAACACAGTTAATAAGTGGAGTGTAGAAATGTGCAGAGTGAACCTAGGAAAACTGGAAGGTGTGAAAAATAGAATGCATAAAGATCAATATCCTAGGGGAGCTCTGGTGGCCTAGTGGCAAGAGGCTGCACTGCAATCCCAGTGGCACATGGTTCAAACCTACCAGATGCTCTACTGGAGAAAGAGGGGCAATCTCCTGTACCGTCGGATCCAATTTGACAGTATGCACACAAAAGAATAATTAAATAATTTTTTTAAAATAACGATCAATATCCTAGCCATTAGAGAGCTGAAATGGACTGCAGTTTGCCATTTTTCACTAGAAAATCATAAGATCTACTATAATGAGGATAACAAAAAGTGATTCTTACTATCATTAAAAAAAAACAAACCATATTTCAAACTCTAGCCTGAAGAACCACCAAGAAGTCCTTTCAGATCCAAGCCCCTGAACTAAAAAACTCCTTGATACCTGGGAATGCCAAGATAATAGAGATCTCCAAAGAACAGTGGAAGAAGACAGACATTTTCTCCAGAATCAACAGAGGGCATACCCCTAGAGATGCACTCTGAATTTGGACTTAAAAACTTCCTAAACTATGAAACTAAATTTCTGTTTGTTAAAGGAAGGGGGCACAGGAAACCAAGACAGTCCTGAAACATAGCACTGTCAGGATAATATCCATAGGCATATGTTATGTGCCATCGGGTCACCTGTGACTCATGGCTACCTTACATACAATAGCTCTGAAGCCTGCCCCATCCTGAGCCAGTCTCACTCCAATACACCTATCCCCATAGCCCTAGTTACTGTATCAATCCATCTCATCCACAGTCTTCCTCTCCTGTGCTGTCTCTCCACCCTTCCAAGGATTGGTCCATCCTGGCCAGATTATGCAAGAGAGCTTAAAAATCCTAGACTCCAAGGAGAAACCTGGTTTCATCTCCAAGACAGCTCTGTTTTCAAGGCAGAAAGTCTTATTCAAGACTTTTCTCCAGCATCAAAACTCAAAGGCATCAATTCTGCCATCCTTAGTCATTGTCCAGCTCTCTGATGCATAGCAAGTAACTGTAAAAACCATGGCCTGGATCAGGCACACCTTAGTCTCTAGACTGACATTTTTGCTTCTCAGTACTCTGCATAGGTCCCTGACAGCAGATTTGCCTAATGCAATTTGTCTTCTGATTTCATGACAAGACATTTAGTCCCAGATCTGTGTCACAAACCCAGATCTCCTCACATAGCTGTTCACCTTTTGCACCCCTAATTCATGTCAGGAACCCCAGTGCATTGCATGCTTCAAGAAGCTGAGACCACCATCTTCCCTCCCCCTTAGGTACCACCCATTCTCCTAGGATCCCATCAGCTTTATTAACAACCAGGCCAGACAGGACCTTCAGACCCAGAATGTCCCAGATCTGCATCAGAAACCCAGAGCCCCCACACAGCCGGAGTCTGGTTTCACCTTTTGGTTTCACACTGGCATTCCAGATCTAAAGGAGTCACAGCCCTCACCTTGGAAATTATCATACCGTGACAGCCGTGTGGTGCAAAAGGATGAGCAGAGATGCTATGCTACAAGACAACAGTACTGGAGCAGACGCTCAGGAGCAAGGAGGACCTTTCCCCCAGTACTGCCTGGGACCAAAAAATCCTTCCCTGGTGCTGATATATGGGATTTGGACTTAAATCCTTCTAAACATGAGATAGAAGTCAGCGTGAGAGACTAGCAGCATTTCAAGGTGCAGGATATCACAGAAGTGACTTGTGGCCTATGCCATCATAACAAAGGGTTGCTGGGTGGAGTGCAAAGGATGCTGATATAGCAGGGAAAGGGAAGGAAGAACATACACCTGCAGGGGAGGGCACTGTGTGTGGTTATTTCTATACGGGTAAGTGTCTTTCATTTGCTCCTTTCATTAAAAAGCTTCTCTCTCAGATACTGTTGTTCCAAAGCTAAGCATCCAAATTAAGACAGACTAGGAAGAAGGATTGGTCATCCATTTCTGAAATATAACATGCCTTCAAAAACCCTATGTACAATAGGCACTGGGGGAAGACCTTGTCCAAATTCTAAAAGCCAAGATCATCAACTATGTTGGGAATGACAGCAACTTCGGCAGTCTGAAATTGACTGGACATGCACTCAAGAGGCATTAAGAACTGGTAGCTGGGATAGAAAAGTTGGAAACAAACGATTGCCAGTTTAAAAATATATGGCTTTGGTGATAGAAACAGGGCCAGAAATTGCATGCCAGAATACTGTATCAATAACTTCATGCAAAAAAAAAAACAAAAAACAACAAAACCCAAAACCCCAAAAAACAAACCTTAATGCAAGTACTTTTTTAAAAACAAACAAAAAAAAACCAAACCCCAAACAGTTGGTATAAACAAGGGTCTTGTCTGATGCAATGAACAAGTGTGAAATCAATCACATCTATACAAAGAGACAATGGAGTCTCGCTCGATATTAGGACAAAGAACTGTCAGAAATCCAAACTTAATAAAAATCCAGTAGAATAAGAGACATCAAGTCACTCTTGTCTGAAAACAGAATAACAGAAAGATGTTGGCCCATGTTTTAGTGACTGCAAAGACATTTGTGTGGGTCATAATAAATTATCAATAACATTGCAAATAATAAGAATTCGAAAATGGTTAATTGTGTTTATGCTGAACCTATACAAAGACACCAAGAAGCAGTTGTTTGTAAATGGACAAGGGAAAATGGCATAGTTTAAAATGAGGAAAGGTGTGCCTAAGGGTTGTATCTTTTCACCTTACCCATTAAGTCTGTATCTGAGCAAATCATCCAAGAAAACTAGACTATATGAAGAAAAATGTGGTTATTAGGAAGGAGTGGAGTTGGAGACAATAAGATTGGCACAGGATAGAGCAGGGTATAGGGCTGTTGTGCAAAGGGTCATTATGAGTCACAAGCGACCCAATGGCACATAACAGCAGCATTAACATGCAGATAATACAATCTTGCTTGCAGAAAGTGAAGACAAAGCATTTATTGAAGATCAAAAGAACTCATAACTGTACTAATAACATCATGACAGATGGAGAGAATATTGAAGTTGGCAAAGATTTCACTTTACTTGGGTTCTCAATCAACAGTCAGGAAATTAAAGGGTGTATTGTGTTGGGCAAATCTACTGTAAAAGACCTCTTTATCAGTTTAAAAGCTAAGATGTACCTGGCCCAAGCCATAGTACTTTCATATCACTACTTAACTTTGACAATGAAGAAAGAAGACTAAAGAAGAACTGATGTCTTTGACTCATTTTGTTGGCAAATAGTACTAAATATATGATAAAGTGCCAGAGGACAAAACATTTCTCTTGGAAAAAGTGCAGCTAGTTTGCTAGCTGGAATGTAAATTTAGGAAACTAGGACATTGTAAAAAATGGTATGTATAAAAATTGACATCCTAGGCATTGTTGTTATGTGCCACTGGGTCATCTGTTGCTCATAGCAACCCTATGAAAAATAGCACTGAAACCTGCCCTATCCTCAAACAGTATCCTTATCTCCAACACTCCTACCCTTGTTACCACAGCACTATGTCAGTCCATCTCATCTGGGGTCTTCCTCCCTGTGCTGTCTCTCCACCCTTCTTTTAAAAGAAGATGGGGGGTGGGGGAAGAAGATGGAAAGGGTACAAAGTCACTGTACCAAAAAACTGGCTGACTGAAAAATGTCATGAAACCACATATGATCAAGAGGCTATGGTGATAAAGGAGGAAATTCAAGCTATTCTTAAGGAACTGGCAAAATATAAGGCCTCAGGAATTGATGGAATACCAGTTGACATATTTCAACAAAGAAATGCTGCCCTTGCCTATGCTACCAGGTTGTGCCAAGAAATCTGGAGGACAACTACCTGGCCAATTGACTGGAAGAGATCTGTATTTATTCCCATTCCAAAAAAAAGGTGACCTCACAGAGTATGGGATTACTGCACAACTTTACTAATCTTGGGCATTAGTGAGTTAAAATGGACTGGTATTGGCCATTTTCAATCAGGTAGTCATAATCTATGCTAGAAATGACAAACTGAAGATGAATGGTATCACATT